ACGTGTGTGCAATGTGTTAAATTTACTTTCTTAACGTCGAAATAAAATAAAGGCGATAAGAAGTTGTTTAATCTAATATTTAATTTCTACCTTTTCATGAAGATGTAAAGAATCGGGTTAGTTCACTTTGGGGATAAACGGTTAATTAAAAAAAGTTTGAAATGATTATCATTTTACTTCTTTTGTGTTACTTATCTATATAAGATATAGAATATGTACAATTTGTTAAATATATTTTCTAAACCTCGAATTTTAGGCTTAAAGAACGTTCCTTTTTTCTCTATTCTATTGAAGCTATCACACCTATTTAATGAAACATTCCAAAGAAAAGGCGTGCAAATTAACTTGTGGCGTTTGGCGCGAAATTATAAAATGTGGCGCGCCTTTCGTGATTCATAGACAGGTGTATTGTTGAAGAGGTATATTCAAGTACATTTAGAGCAGTGGACTCAAACGCGTAATTTAAGCGTGTTGGGAATAAAGAGGAAAAAAGCGCGTTGGATTTTCACGCTGCGTGGCGACCTGAATTCAATCCCTTTTGTGACCAAATTTTTTTTATTACTTTTTCAGCTCGATTTTAGGTTCTTTTCCTGAAACGGACGGAAGACCTCTCGTTGCGAGATCGTTTCTAGTTATGATTATTTTTTTTCTGACCATCTAATTTTGTGCACGCGATTTCTCGAATACTACTGGATGGAATTACATAAAATTTTCAGGACAGATGTGTTGTTAAATGAATTTATTATATCCGGGAGAAAATTTGGAAACTCACTTCCGGTGCCAAGTCACGGACACTTTTCTGAAAATAAAATAACATTTTGTCCGCGATTAAACTCAAAAACGGTAAAAGATATCAATATGAAACTTTCAGGGATTATAGATCGTGATATATACTATCCAGGACGCGACCTTTTGTTAGTCGTCGGTACTTCCTTTCGTTAGGAGAAGCGAATTGAAAAAATCGTTTTTTCTAACTTTTTTGCTTTTCAATATTTTTTATTTATTTTTGGAATATTAATAGAGACCCTTCTATTGATGCTTACTATATAAGTTGTTTGAATATTGGTTAATCTGAACTCTAGATATTAATATTTGAAAATCTGAAGCGGGTCCAAGATGGCGTCTGCCTCTGTCAACTCCGCCATTTCGCAAGTAGGGGTTTATGGAGGCAGCTGAGCGTTTGATTAAACCATTCTGACATAAGGATACATGAAATGTAAAAAAAACTACTTGGACTTTCACGTACTGGTACGTTGTAGTTACGTGTCAATCTTAAAACTCAATTTCCGTTTCACTGCTTTAGTTAAACTGGGCTAGATACGATATGTAATGTGTACAATGTGTTAAATATACCTTCTTAACGTCGAAATAAAATGAAAGAGATAAGAACGTTTTATTTATTTAATTTCATTGAAGCTATCACACCTATTTGATAGATCAGTCCAAAGAAAAGGCGCGAATATTTACTCGTGGCGTTTGGCGCGAAGTTATCAATAGTGGCCCGCCTTTTATAATTCTTAGATAGGTGTCCTGTTGCAAATGTATACACAAGTATATTTAGAGCAGTGCTCCCATTAGCTAAATGGTTTGCGCGTTAATAGATCACGTAGTAATTACGTTACAATTCTGTGTCAAACTAAAGATTTATTCCAGGGTCTTCTCAAACGTCTTCTGTAACTGGTTTTGGTTGGTTCTCAAAGTAGAAAAAGAAAAGACTAAATGTGCAAATGAGAGATACCTATTATCATTTGTTTTGCAAGACGGAAAAACAGATCTTAAATCATAGTTATAAGTTACAGTTTTTCGAGAAACAATATCGATGCATATATATAGTAAGTATAAGACGTAAAACCACTGTTTTTCCCATGCACACTGGTGTGATATAAACGAATAGAAAAGACAAAAATAAGAAAACCATTTTAATAAGATCGTCTAATGGAGTTTATATTAACATTCTTTTCTCAAAGATCTGAATCAAGTTATTGAACATAAATGGTATCTGATTCCTTGACTGTCGTAGAGCGAGGCATGTTTTTCGGCGAAACATTTCAACCTTTTTATGAAAGTGTAACTAATCGGCATAGTTCACTTCTGAGACGGGAAATGAAAAAAAATTAAATTATAGTCATTTTACTGCTTTTGTGTTACTTTTCTATAGAATGTGTACAATGTGTTAAATATATTTTATATATGCTGACTGGCGCTTTTTATACCAATTGTTAGTCCATTATTTATACACTGAATTGACGACGGATTTTTTCCGTTATTTCCTGATCATGACAACGAGCACACGGCGGGTGTGACCGGTCGGCAGGGGATGCTCACTCCTCCATGGGACCTGATCCCACCTCTGATGTTTCGGAGGTCCGTGTTTGCTCCGCTCAGATTTTGTATATTGTTTAATGGACTTTGAGATTGAATACTGTTCGTTATCTCCATATCCTTCTTTCTAAACCTCGAAATGTAGGCTATGAGAACGTTCTTTTTTCTTAATTTCATTGAAGCTATCACACCTATTTAATAGATCAGTCCAAAGAATAGGCCCGAAGATTTAACGTGGCGTTTGGCGCGAAATTATGAATAATGGCCCGTCTTTTATAATTCTTAGACAGGTGTACTGTAGCAAAAATATACACAAGTACATTTAGAGCAGTACTCCCAATAGCGTTATGGTTAGCGCGTTGGGGATAACAGGGGAAAAAGCGGATTGGATTTTCACGCTGGCGACCTGGATTCAATTTATGACCAAATTTTTTAATCACTTCTCAGCTCGACTTTACGAGTTTTTTTTTCCAGAATCGGACGGAAGACCTCTCGTTGCTCGCAACGAGATCGTTTCTAGTTATTTTTATTATTTTTCTGACGCGATTTCTCAAAGACTACTGGATGGAATTACATGAAATTTTCAGGACAGATGTTTTGTTAGATGAATTTGATACATCTGAGAGATTTTTTGGAAATTCGCTTCCGGTGCCAAGTTACAGACCTTTTTCTGATTTCTTTTGTCCACAGATTTTCTCAAGAACGGTAAAAGATATCAATGTGAAACTTTCAGATATTATAGATGATGAAAAATTCTATCCAGGACGTGACTTATCGTTTGTCGTCATTACTTCCGCTTGCTACCAGAAGCTAATTTAAAAAGTCTAATTTAAAAAAAAATTGTTTTTCAATATTTTTTGTTTATTTTTTGTATGTTAATGGAAACCTTTCTTATAATGCTTGCTATGTAATTTGTTTGAATATTGATAAATCTAAACTCTAGGTATTAGCATTTAAAACTTTGAAGCGTTTCAAAATGGCCGTTCTCTCTGTCAACTCCGACATTTCGCAATAGGGGTTTACTGACGCAGTCGAGCATTTGCTTGAAAGAAAGTAATAAGGACAAATGAAATATAAAGGAATACTTGGATTTTCACGTTGTAGTTAAGTTACAATTCTGTGTCAAACTAAATTCTTCTTAAATGTCTTTTATAATTGGTTTTGGTTGATTCTCAAAGTAAAAAAAGAAAAGACTAAATGTGCAAATGAAATTCGATACCAAATATCTTTTGATTGCACCACGGAAAAGCAGCTCATTAATCATTGTTACAAGTAATAGTTATTCGAGAAGTATATCAATGAATACAGTAAGTACAAAACTTACCAACGGTTTTTCCCATGCACATTTGTGCCATATTATACTAATAAAAAAGACAAAATAAGATAACCATATTTTTTTAAAGATCGCTTAATAGAGTTTATATTAAGAGCGTGTCTACGAGAAAACCATGCAGATATATAGAAAAATGCTCTGATAGGCACTCTCAAGAACAAACTAATTTTTATTATTAACTTAAAGGACACCCATTGAGAGTCAAAAATATGTTGTTTATTTTTGCATCGGTTGTTTCTATTTTTAGTAACAGCCAATAATTCATTTTGGTCAATATTCAAGGGAAAATGCAAAAAAAAATTTGTGTAAAAATGACAATTTCAATATTTAAAAGTAAAAAAGAAAAAAACAATATATAAATAAAAGGGTTATGTTTTCTCATAGAACTAAGTCGTAAAATTAAGTTGGAATCATTTTTTTGTAAAACCCCTTTATAGAAGGCTGTCACGAGGGCACAAATATTGGCATGGTGCCAAGAAATGATAATGGTTCATTTTTTGTTAATATTCAGGGATACATTTCTTAGAAAGTAACGCTTCTTTTTTCAGAATTTTGAGCATTTAAGAATCTCTTGCACATTATCCAAACAATATGTAAAATCCACCTTTGGACTCTCAAGGACAGAAAAGTTATATCGTAATGAAATTACCTCAAATTCAAATGATGGAAAAATTCATGATTTTATAAGTTTTACTTTTAACCGTAATTTTAATGAATTTTGCGTAAAATATTTACAAATATAAACAATGATAATTATTTCTAATTTTATAAAAGCTATAAATATTTTTTCCCTGCTTTTCCTGTGAAAAAAACGTATTTTACAATTTATTTAGATTTTGTTAGAATTATCTCCCCTGTTCCGCTCTTCTGTAGAGAAGGTAGATAATGATTATGTTTACGAAGTTTATAAACAGATGTCTGTCATCTAATCGTTTTAGGCATCAATTATGTGTGATTTGAAGAAAATTTTCCCTCCTGTGAATGTAATTTGTTACGTATATACTAGTGGCCTATGTATAAAATGCACAAACCATTATGAAAACCATCGGGATCGAAGTACGTAACCACATGTAAACATTATGAGACGTATCTGAGACGTTTTGTTACCGTTTTGTTAGTCCCCAGAAAAAGATTCAAGTGCGTGAATTGTCAACGAGTCTTCGGATTATGGCTCTGATTTTGATGAGTATGATTCTGACAGCAAACATTCATTTGGTAGCAAGACGGATGTAGTGATGATGATACCGAATCAACAATGTTTGAATTTGAAAAAGAAACAGGTAGGTGGATCTTGGTTAATAATACTATGTATACCTCATAAAAAGGCTTATTGATAGGTTAAAAAAATAAATGATTAAACAATTTTGATGGGGACTTGATTGTGGACAAGAGAAGATTTTTTACAAGACACTAGGTCTGGTACAATCACTAGATATAGCTATATATGTCTACTAGCTTGAATTACCTACTTAGTCAGCTTTATTTACCTACCTGAAGTAGCTTTATTTAGCTACCAATTGCAAAGTAATTTATTTCTATAAAAATACCTACGTTAACGTAGCTTAATCTAGTGATTGTACTGGACCTGAATATATACCTAGCAAACCTGTCAAGAGAAGTTTCAACATGTTCAAGGTTGGTACTTGTACATGTAGCAATAAAAATAACAATATTGCAAAATAATTATAAATAGCATAAGTAGCCTTTGTGGGTGATGAAGGGGGAATGAAAAGTTGAATAGGTCCAGGGTTTTCAAAGACTGTTTACTAATAGGGTACATTAAGAATTGGATAGGTGGGTCTTCACTGTCAATTAAATCACCATTATTGCCTTATATGTGGGCTGCAAGATTATAAAGAATCTCATTAGACAAAATATTTTTTTCAGATATTTATGAAATGTTATGAAGATCGGGCTACAGTTATGATTTTCAGCTTTTCATATATGATTAAAGGAAAAAAGATTTGTCAAATACTTGTACTTTTCAAATTAAAGGTCACCATGTGTTCCTTGACAGGTTTGTGTTTAAAACATAACTAATTAAATATTATAAATATAAGTCTGGGAAATAATACTTTGTAAAGAATATTTCCTTTCATTCTTATATTTCTCTTGCAATTTCAGATTATTCAAATTCATTTCCCTGGTTAGGACTGGGCTTTACAATAGGATTTTCAGCTGTGGAGCTATAAAGAATTACTACATAGGGTTTCCAATGTAGTTTTATGAACAGAATCCAGAATTAAGAAGAGGAAAGACAATGCAGATGCAGCATTAGCATTACCAATTACTTAGTATCACTGCTGAGGAAATGGTAAAGATGTGTTATATTATTATACCTCTACTGTCATTACTCTGTATAAATTAATACCATAAAACTCTATTTCCCCGATAAGTGACTATTGCTCTCATCTGAAGACTACTCCCTGGAAAATCAGAGTTGCTCCCTTGGACTACTCCCTCATGAATATTTATTAGTAATTTTAACCAATCAAAGTGTTCAGTGGGTGGAGCATACAAGGAATCTCGAGTCTGTGACGTCATGTTATTAGCAATGTAGCTATGACGTCAAAACATTTCAACGTGCGATGTCAAAATCATACTTGAATTCTACCAAAATGAAGACAAAGATAATTTTTCGAAATGTCAGTGAAAATACTTTTTAAAAAATAATTTAATTGTTTAAGGACACTATACTTCACTTATCATACATTGTGTTAAACCGCATGTATTTGTAATTATGCCTCTGCAGTTTTTTTTTAAATGTTGGAATATCTGGTTAAAAAAATTTAAATCGTCTATCATTGTTTCGGTATAATAAAAAAAGTTATGGAATGGAACTCGGGAAATAACAAATTTATTGTTCCCCTCGGCAGAAAATTATTTCCTCCGGGAAATAGTTTCCTCCCTTGGGGAATAATAAATTTGCTATTTCCCTCATACCCATTTCATAACTGTATACTATAGTACATGGAAAGGAATTGCCTTGTCTGTCTGTTGATTTGCCACAAGCATTTTTCCCTACTCTATTACTTTACTTCAAGGATATATGAAGCTCTTGTTTTCTTCAAAGAAAGCCAGAAGAATTTGTGAAGAATCTTACCTAAATCATTTGATGACATTTTCTTCAATTGATCAATTTAAGTGTATTATTATCATAAACATGACATTTACTTTAAAAATCTTAGAATATGTCTTGTATGGTTTATTTCAATTTAATTTAAAACTGTGTTTTTTCACAGGTACCTGCTTTGAGTACTACTCTTGTGTATTTGGAGACAGTGCAGTTGTTCTTTAAACCAGAAGTGGAAATTTCAGTGCTTGTTAAATTTTCTCCAGAAGTTATTGGATGATACATAGGAAGAAAATGGTGTCATACTGAACAAAATAGTTTGGATACACCTTATAGATTTTGAAAGATTGAGACCTCAAGATCAACCCAAATGATATTTAATATGTATCAGGGTTCACTTGCAGGAATACACAGAAATTCAGAGTAAATTTTTAGTGCTTGTTATCTTAGAAAAGATCAAAGTTCAAGGTCAGCAGTGCTTTAGTTTTACCAAATATAAAACTATTATAAAGACTAATTTCCTGTATACAGGTATAGCAAATAATCCAGAATATGATTTGGGGAAACCGTGATTTTTTCTTTTAAATCTTACCTTAATTTAGAACCATGATGTATAACTTAAGCAAGAAGATTTTTTTCAAGCATACAAAATTTCAAGGTCATTTTAATTTTGGAAGTGAATATAAAATATCAGGAAGCAGTCAAGCATTGTAATTTATTTGTTGTTGAATGTACTTACTTATTGAGTAATATTCAAATTTTAATATGCAATGAAACTAAAAATTTTAAAATAATTAATGTCCTAATTTGTTGATTTTTAAAACTTTGTGTTCATTCATTTTGAGGTTGTTGCCATTACAATACATGTATATCTGTCAAGAAAATAGCTCTGATATTCCTTTTTGTTCAGTTTGACCCTTGAACTTTAACATTGTGACCTCAAAATCTAAAGGGGTCCTCTACTTTTCAAATTTCATGTCTGTCAAACAGTGGGTCCTCACGATTTTGAATGATTAAAATCTACATACTGGTATATCGAGAATTATAACCTTTGACCTTTGACCTTGTGAACTCCAAATTAAAAGGGGTCATCTACTTATTAGTAGATACCAGTGTACTATGTTCATTATTCATCAAGCAAGTCTTTTTAAGATAAGAGAGAACACACTTGGTCTACTGATTGACAAACAGGTACTAAACAGTATGTGAATATCACCCTGCTCAAAGAAAATGTAAAATAATACAATTCTGCTACCCCCCCCCCCCCCCCAATTTAACCCCCTCTCTCTCTAATTATTTATTGAAAACAAAAATGTTCAATATACTGGTATTTTTCAGCAGCAAAATTTGAATTCTTGAAAATATTTAAATCAGCAAATAACTCCTTGCTGAAGTTCAGGATGAGAAAATTTGAAAATTCACAAAAAATGTCCAACTTTAAGTAAAAAGTACAGAAAAATATTTGAGAGTCCAAAGACAGATTTTTTATAGAATGTAGACAGACATGTTGTCTAATAATTGGTATGAGATTGAGTTGATTCTAAGCGTTACTTTCTGAGTTATGGGTTTTTGAAAAGTTAATATTTTTACCAGTTTTCAAAAATCTGGAAATATGCCAGATTTGTGACCTTTTTGCACTTAAACGAGGGCACAGTTTGTGATTATGAAAAAAATTCCGAAACAAGTGTATCTTGTTACTTTCAACCATATATGGATAATTTATATCATAATCAAGTAAAATGCTGTATATTTAAATATAAAATCCTATAAAATTCCTGTTTTCACCCTGCGTTTGGACCAAGAATTCTATTTTTAGTAACAGTGTCGATTTTACCCCTTAAGTGAGACCACACTGAAAAAAAATTGTGGCAAAATGTTTCATATAATAGAAGAAATTTACACACAAAATATGAAGTTGATCAGAGAACCTTGCTCCCATAACCTCCTGCATGGTTTTCTCGTAGACACGCTCTTAACATTATTGTCTTAAAGATCTTATTCAGTTTATCGAGCACAAACGATATCTAACTCCTTGACCGTCGTAAGGGGAGCCTTTTTTTGCGAAACATTTCAATCTTTGCATGAATGTTTTTAACTAATCCGGATAGTTCACTTTAGCGAGTTCACTTTAACATGAAATTTTAAAAAAGTTAAAATTCATAGCCGTTTCACTGTTTTAGTCTTACTTCCTTGCATACTATATGGAGTTTGTGAAATGTATAAAATATACTTTCTAATCATCAAGTTTTAGGCTGAATGTACGGTTTTTTTTTTATTTCATTAAAGCTATCACACATATTAAAGAGAACATTCCAAAGAAAAGGTGCGAAGATTTACTCGTGGCATTTGGCGCGAATTTATGAATAGTGACTAGCTTTCATAATTCTAAGACAGAAGCACTGTTATACAGAGGTATATACAAGAAGATTTAGAGCAGAGGACCCGACAGCGTACGTAATATTTAGCGCGTTGGATTATCATGCTGCCGACTTGGATACAATCCCTCTGCGTGTAATATATTTTTTACCCTTTCAGCTAGATTTTACAAAGGTTTTCTTTTCTTCGGAATCGGACGGAAGACCTCTCGTTGCTCGCAACGAGATCGTATCTAGTTATTAATATAGTTGTAGTGGATATTTTGTCTTAATACATGTGTTTGTCACTCTAGTCTAGTCATTAACTTTGTACGGTAAATGTTCATTGGCAACTGGAAGTTCATTGTAACTGTATACCCAATTGATGTTTCAATGACCTCTCCCAATGTTATAAAGTCAAATGTCATATTAAAAAAAAATAGTTTGTTTTATTACAAAGAAATGTTGATCAGTGAGAATACTTATAAAATATGCTTACATTGTACATCTATAAGTGTATATGTAATATTTGTTTGAAAACACATTGTGAAAGAATTTTTTTTTTAAACTTTGAAAATATAGATTTGATCTATGATAAATTGAACATTGAATTGAATTGAATTCAGTTTTCATTGTATCTTCCTGGAATTTCTTAGATTTCAAAGGAATTCCATAGATTTCTAAATATCTTTGTGCACAGATATGTTGGGCCAACATAAGAATTATCATTGTTTGAAACTGGGCCAACGTAAGGCCCACGTGAAGATGCACAAATACGTTGGGCCTACATTGGGCCAACACCAGAATTATCATTGTATATCATTGGGACAACGTAGCGCCAACATGTCAGTGCAATGTTGCAACGATTAGCAAAATTACATTGGCCCATTATAATTTTTCCGACGTTGGTCCAATGTCGGAAAATGATATCGGGCCAATGTAATTTTGCTCATCGGCGCAACGTTGCGCCGACATGTTGGCGCAACGTTGGCCCAATGTCATAGAACGATAATTTTGACGTTGGTCCAAAGTTGGGACAACATAACTGACAACAATGGCCCAACGTTGGACCAACGTCAGTGTCATCGTTCTATGACATTGGGCCAACGTTGTGCCAACATGTCGACGCAACGTACGTTGCGCCGATGAGCAAAATTACATTGGCCCAATATCATTTTCCGACATTGGACCAACGTAACTTACAACGGTGGCCCAACATTTGGCCAACGTAAGCTTGCTATCTTGGTAATTGATCAGTATACTCTTTTTTGCCAATTTAGAAAAAAATTATTACGTAAAAATGTGAAAAAAACATAAATGGTATCATTAAATCATAATAGCAATGCCTGATAATCAAATTTAAATTTGTCTCTTACTTCCTTTTAATTGAAAGAAAAGGGAATACATTGATTGTATACTGTTTAACGTCCCTCTCCAGAATAAAAAGGGAATAGAAAAAGAAAGCATAAAAATGATGAATTTGATATATTTCTTCGTATTTTATATTTGAATAATTGCTTTTATATATGCAGTACTGTTAAGGCTTCCCGGAGCTTAAAATGCATTTAAAACGTAACACTGTATTGCAAAGCTGATTTTGAGGTTTTTTTTTTAGTTATGTACTTCAGTACGCCAAATTCATACAGAATCCTCTAGGTTATATATAAACATATTTTTTACGATGTCACATGATCTTATTGATCACGTGACGGTCATTTCTTCTTTTTTTAAATGTTTCACAGAAATTGCCTTGGCGCAGGTTATTAACACAATTATTATTTATTTATTTATTAACTTTTTGTGACATAAATAAACTTGATGCATCCTTGTGAAACCGAGATGTGCTTTGGAAAATTTATAATATTTCTTCGGAACAATTTATTTCATATTAACTTCAACTTACCTACAAATTTGGGGGTATTTTCCGTTGAATATCGTTATCTGTTTTAAAACAAAGCCATCCTACATTTTTCCCAAGCAGGATTCAGTAAGAGGGGAATCTGTACATATTTCCACAAAAGATATTAAATAAATCCTAATTACAACCTGCGCCAGACTCTTTTATACGCATATTATGAATTCTGCCTATGTCGACACTGGTTAAAAAAAAGGGTTGATGTCAAATGTATATTTTCGTACGGAGTTTGAACACACTGACTCTTAACCAAGAGTAATAAAGCAAAGTTGTCTAAATTATTCGGATATATTAGACTTTGAAAAATTGATAACAACACGTTTATTTTGAATTAGCGTTCTGCAACTTTATATGTAGATTGAAATAAAGTGTAAACTTTATGACACTCTCCCCATCATTGCAGCTCAAGTATGGAGTGACTTGACGTCATTTTCAATTATGACGTCATACATTTGTAGTTCGTAGAAGTGCATGCAGAGAGTACACTACAATATTCTCTGGGAAGCCTTATCGTACCTGCGTATGCATTCTGTTTTCATTCTGACAGCTTTAAAACAGAGCACCTTTTGGATAGGTTCCCTAACCAAAAAATACTATAGTTAACTATAGTTAACCATAGTTTACTATAGTTAACTATAGTGATAACTTTGAAACTTTAAAAACTTTGATTTACTATAGTGATAACTTTGACACTTTGAAAAAACTTTGGCGAAAACTTTGACACTTTGAAAAACATTGACGAAAACTTTGACAATTTGAAAAACTTTGACGAAAACTTTGATACTTTGAAAAAATTTTATGAAAACTTTGATACTTTGAAAAACTTTGGCGAAAACTTTGACACTTTAAAAACTTTGGCGAAAACTTTGACACTTTGAAAAACTTTGACGAAAACTTTGACACTTTGAAAAACTTTGGCGAAAACTTTGACACTTTGAAAAACTTTGGCGAAAACTTTGATACTTTGAAAAACTTTGGCGAAAACTTTGACACTTTGAAAATCTTTGGCGAAAACTTTGACACTTTGAAAAACCTTGACGAAAACTTTGACACTTTGAAAAACTTTGGCGAAAACTTTGACACTTTGAAAAACTTTGGTGGAAAACTTTGTCACTTTGAAAAACTTTGACGTAAACTTTGACACTTTGAAAAACTTTGGCGAAAACTTTGACACTTTGAAAAACTTTGACGAAAACTTTGACACTTTGATTTACTATAGTTAACTATAGTAAACTATAGTTAACTATAGTATTTTTTTGTTAGGGTTCTAGCGACTACACTATAGAGGGGTCATTCCATTGGCTAGAGACTGGATTCCCTATAGGAAACTTTTTAGCGTGAGGCGCTGGAAAACCCACCAGGAATATCACAAACAACTGCGTGCGCATGTTTTACCAAGAAGACCAGTTTAAATGGGAGGACTAGAACAGTAACGACCCGTGTCGCATAATATTAGGTCCGCCTCGTTTAAAGGTCCGGCCGGACCTAATACGATAACATATTTGGTCCGCCTTTTATAAGA